CTGGGGGGGCGGGGGAGGGGCGGCGACAAGGAGGCACCAAAACCCGGGGCCGGTTGTGTTGGGAAATGCAGTTGAACCTGGTCCTGGTGCTCATTGCAGCGCTGCTTGTCCAGAGCCTCCGGTCCTGGGAAGTGGAGCTGCTGCAGCTGTGTAAAAAGTGACTTGGGCAAATTGTGGCCCTTTCCCCTTTTTCTGATTATTGAAAAATCACTGCTAAGTGATTAATTGGACTCATGATTGCAGTCAATAAAGGTGTTGCTGATACATATCAAAGTATCTTCTGCTTGGTGATTGATTTATTTATTTCACATCTCATTTCCTTGTCAGGGAAGTGGAGCTGCTGCAGCTGTGTAAAAAGTGACTTGGGCAAATTGTGGCCCTTTCCCCTTTTTCTGATTATTGAAAAATCACTGCTAAGTGATTAATTGGACTCATGATTGCAGTCAATAAAGGTGTTGCTGATACATATCAAAGTATCTTCTGCTTGGTGATTGATTTATTTATTTCACATCTCATTTCCTTGTCACAAACGTTGTGGAGCGAGCAGGTTTCTTTAAGAGATTTGATTCCTCCTGAACAAAACCGATTGCCTCCCTGGGAGGACTGTAGTGTCACTGCTTGTGTTGCCCATGAGCCAGACACACATAAACCTTGTCTATGGTTGTGGCCAAATCCCACTGCGCCAGTCGTCAGGTTGCCCTTCCTACTAATTTCAAACCCTACAGTTCAGATTTTGGAAAATAAACAAAATGTGAAATAAAGCTCCTGCCCACTCTCCTTACAGGGACTGTGACAGTAGGAAATATCAATGTCATGTCTGCTCATGGTGCTGTATACACTGCGTGGAAAAAACTTATTTATACATAATTATATTGTCCGCATACAGAGTTGAAGTGACCCGTGCAGCAAGAGATGTCATTGTCACCAGTCCCTTGATTCAGGGATGATCTCTACCGTCACTCACTGATGGCTCTTCAGGTGAGTTAAGAGTCCAGTCCTTGAGCCATCTGCAGCAGTTACAGGTCTTTCCTCAGGGGAAAGTAGG